GATTAATTTGTTTTGAAATTTCGAAATCATATTAAAATACATAACAAATGTTTACTTTAATAATATAAATATTGCAATTAATAATTATTTCGTAAAGCAAGCTTAAAATTGCATTTCACATATCCCTTTAAAAGCAAAAATATATATTCATATAATTTAATTAAAGAGTAAACTTTGAAAACTAACAATATTTGACCATATCTCAGGAAAATGAATGTTTATTTTCTAATAATGTACACAAAACTTGATATAAAAATCTCTATTTTCATATAAATTTTGTTGGGCTCAGTGTGAGAGCTTAGGGATGCTGTTGAATGCAATTCTCGTTTTTTTGTATAAAAAAGATAAAATTTTATTTATACAGAAAAACTGAAACCAAATGAAGTGCCGAGAAAAATAAAAGTGAATAAAACAAATTCATACAAAAATGTTGGTGAAAATAAATCACAATTTAGACTAACTTATACTTTCTCACTTCATTTTATATACTGTATAATCATATATTTTCATTATATTTTTTCTTCAAATATTTATACATAAATTGAAAATAATGTGCTCCGAGTTCACAATTCTTGTTGTATTGTATGATTACATCGATCCGAGTATTATATAATATGTTATGACTAAGAATGCAATAAAAATGGATAAAAAGTGGGTTCTTATAACTGGGTTAAGTTTATCCCTATGATTCATAAAAAAAACACATTCACTATTTTAATCAGTTTTTGATTTTCAATATTTTAATCCTTTATAATAATTTTAAATGAGTATTCAATTGATAAAACACTCAAACCTTTATTAATCGATGAGAATATATATTAAGAATAATAATATTTCTTGAGTAATCAACAAATTTGAAGAAAGTTGTAATAAATAGTCATTCAATTTTATCAATTGAGTATTTATATAAACGAATATTCATATAAAATTATTATAAAGAATTAATATTTTTGAAAATCAAAAACTGATTAAATTAATGAATGTGTTTTTTATGAATCATAGGGATACATTTAGCCCAGTTATAAGAACCCACTTTTTATCCATTTTTATTGCATTCCTANAATAAGTTTACAAATATCTACATAAATGCCTTAAAACTTTTAAGTTAAAAGCCTGTTTCCAATAGCTTTAAGCAGTAATCAAAATATTTTATCGCTAATTACAAAACTATATAAAAGTCAAAAACAAAATGAAATAATTATTAAATTATTTAAATCGCGAGAAAATTACTAGATTTGAATTTATCCGATAAATTTTATCGGGAAAATATTTGTCTCAAATTCAAACATTGATTCACAAAAACATTAGACTTTGATTGCCATAAACTATAGCCAAAAGTGTCTGAAGTTTAGCCACAATTACGATGACTTTAGTATGGATTCAATTGATTGTCATTTATTCCATTAGTTGTGAATCGCGTGAAGACTACAAAATGAATGCAAATATCTTTAATGTAATCCAAACCATAATCCCTTTAAAACTAATTCAAAAATAATCGTTAAAATTCTGCACAGAATCTCACAAATGGTTTGTTTGGGGAATCGGACGACAATTATCTCACGAGTGGTATAAACAGTGGTTCTGCGGACCAATTGTCACGATATATACGCCAATCGTCTGACAATAACACTAATCCCGTGACCACCATAGGAACCGGTGGTCTAGACAGCCATACTCCGGGAGGTTTAACTCAACTCAAAACCATAGAGGGGTCCACACCGTGGGTGTCCCTCATTATGCTATACTCGACAGCACTGGTAGTCATTATAGCGGCGATTGTGTCCAAGAAATTGCTTTTGAGCTATAATTTAAAGAAGCGAAAGGAGAGGGCATCGCAAGAGAGACGGTATCTAATAGTGGGTCGAAAGCGGAGACAGGGAATGGTGGCTAAGACACAGCCGCCGCCGGCTGTACCCAAGGGTCCGGCGCTCACAACACCGGCCGAAACGGGAAAGACTATGCGCTCAGAGAACCACTCGTTTCTCAGGAGACATACATACGATATACTCTACACTTCCATTCAATTAAATAAACACTTTTTATGTCTAAACTCATAGCTTTTAGAAATGCAGCGAAAAATAAAATTTCATATTACTGTAAATATATTTAACGGAGAAATTTAATTGTAATTAATTAATACCCGAAAAGTAATTAATATGTAAACTATTTCTTAAGTTTCAAAATACTATTCAAATGAATGGCAAAATCAAACATAAAATCATAAATGCTTTCAAAACAAAACTTTTCAGTTTTTTCATACATTTTTCAATGAGTTTTCAATTACTCTCTCGAATAACATTAAAACACAAATCAATTGATTAAAAATTACTATAATTTTGAATAACGTTTAAAAAAATTATTTATTTCTAACATTTAAACAAATACTGGAAATAAGGCACCGGTAGTGCCACTCACACCACATCCGTCAGCGTCTTAAACGTGAGATTATCGCTGATCTGCTGTTCCGTGACATTAGATTTGGTCACAAAAGTGATGGTCTTTTGGTGATCAAAGACAAAGAATCCGTTTTCGGGGAAATTCCCGCGAATTCCGGAATTGCGTTTGAAATCCATGGCCACGAAAGGCGCCACCGCTTCCGCACTCAGGGTTATGTCAAACACGTGCTTATTGTCCACCGGTTTGTCGCGCTTTACCACCGAAACTAACTTCAGATTCGGATTCACTATTTTCGAGTTCTTCGGCTCCGCTAATAATAGGAAACTCGACGCCTGTATGCAAAGGGAATGGCATTGAAATTCTTAATACAATTCTTAATGGCATAAAACACAGATACACCCTAAATGTGATTCAATGTATAACTGACTCAATGGGACACACATTATATCGCGAATTATTTACATTAAAATAAATTACTTTTAAAAGCATTAAAACTACTTTTGATAACAAAAAACAGTTCACTTTATAAGGGATTCATTATAACTACATTCAAGTAACTGATTAAACAGTAATGAATAGCATTCATAAGACATACCCTGAACTGTGGTATATCTACCCGAATGACACACTGAGTCCTGTCCTCACACTTGAATTTCTTGAGCAGATCTGGAATGTAGTCGTGCCATACGGTCTGCACTGAGAATCCCTTTTCACTTAAAACCAGCGCCTGTAGCTCTTCCGTGGGCTTAACGGACGTCCAGTTGTAGACACTCAGCAAGAGATCAAACGTCTGTTTACCGCCGAAGTCGTCTCGAACTAACACTACCTGTCATTCAAACATCAATTATACACAAAATTATTGTCTAATTCTTAAACCAAATATTAATCTGTTTTTTGTAAGTCTTATCAAAAATGAAAGTTTAAGAGTGAGTGAGTGAGAGAGAGAGAGAGAGAGAGCGGGAATATTGAACACAAAACACTTCAAAATTGAATGAAATTCTGCATTCAATTCATAGATTCACATGAAATACACAATACTTTAAGCGTCTCATTGGTGTCCTCGTAAGCGGTGACCAATTGATTGCTAAAGAAGTCGATGGCATAGGACTGCAATAGTTTCCATTTGCCGCCATATTCTATGGACGCCCAGGTAGTTCCCTGCCATATGTCATTCAACTGCCAATACAGGGCACCCATTGTGTTGCCATTCCCTGTGTTGGGGTCGACCTCACGGTTCCGGCGGTAGAACTCTGTCTCGACTTTCATAGCCATCGCTTGAATCACTTGCGATAAGTAAACCAAATCCTCAAAGCGGTCGACCCCTCCCTGTGAGGGAAGTTTCAAGTAATGGCCTATAAATACACGCAATATATGAGACAAATCCACACCAAAAGTAAGGGTCGACTCAATAAACACGTAACCAATACAACAAACTATTAGACGGCCCCTACATCTAAACAAAAGAGTCAATACCGATGGCGTTCTCAATGGATTTGGTGCCTCCCGGGTGGTGCTGCCGGTGCTCCAGAGCGTCGCCAATCGGAAACGTCAGGTCAGACTCGTTGAGCGCTGTTAGCAGCGTCTCGACCGACGGGTAGGATATGTAGCCATACTCTGAGGTAAACTTCCCGCTCGGGTATTGTCGCCAATTCCACAGCGGTTTGTCGTACGTGTAGTAGTGGACGTCCCCATAGCGGGTGTCCCTCGAGTGGTTCGACACCCAGTCCTCCTGGACCTCCTCGTCCCCATTCGATGGACTCGAGCCCACAAACGTTCGACTGCTGTCCTCTTCGAGGATCAGTTTACGGATGTGTTTGATGTAGAGCTCAATGTAGTCATCCTTATGGTGCTGGAAGTCCTCCTTTTTGCCCAGACGTACCATAACCTCGTTCTCGTTATTGCCTGCGGGAGGGGTAGAAATTAGGTACCGGTGCTATTCGTTAGACCTATAGGTGCTATTATGCTATCACACACTCGTGTAACTTATGGGGTATTAATCGGTAATAAACCCTATATTCTAATCAGACATACAGTGAATGGTTTGACATACCGGACCACAAAGCGATGGACGGGTGGTGTTGTAGGCGCCGAATCTGCGTCAACACCTCCTGGTCCACAGTCGCCAAGAAGTCGGGGTCTGACGGGTATAGAGAACAGGCAAACATGAAGTCCTGCCATATCATGACACCGTACTCGTCGGCCAACTCGTAGAGGTAGTCCGACTCATACACCCCTCCGCCCCACACTCGCATCATATTCATGTTGGCATCCCTGGCCGCCTCCATCAGCTCTCGCAAGTACTCCTTGGATACGCGCTCCTGGAGGTTGTCGGCGGGTATCCAATTGGTTCCCTTCGCGAAAAACGGCTGTCCATTCACTTGGAAATAAAAGGTCAACCCTTTCGGCTGCACCGGTGTCTGAATCACTTCAATAGTTCGGAACCCAATCCGTCGCGTCTGCTCCGACACCTCCTCACTGTTGGGGAACTCCAGCTTAGCTCTCAATGCGTACAACTNCAAACAAGTGGTGAATCTGGTGGCCGAAGGGGTGGACACTGTGTCCGCCATTTATATCAATGACCAACTCGTGGGCCGTACTGTCAATCAGTTCGTGAGGTATAGGTTTGATGCGAAGAAAGTCCTCAAAAGCGGTAAAAATACGATTCGCGTGGCCTTTGAGTCGGCGCTCACCTACTCTAGCCGTCAGTCGCACTGGTATTTCGATAAATACCACTACGATATCATACCCGGTATGGGCACTAGTAGTCAGTATTGTGTGGACTATTCTTGAATTATACGGCATTCCCTTAAACAGGTTGTATGGCTAAGGAATATCACGGCGAGTGTCACAACAATATGATCCGCAAAATGGCCTCATCTTTCAGCTGGGATTGGGTCCGTATAATCGCATACCTGTCCACTCACTATACTATACCATACATACCGTTCCCTAATCTAATCAATTAACTCAATCAAAAGGGACCGGCGTTTCCCACTCAAGGCATTTGGAAACCCATCGGAATTGAAGCGTACGATAAGGCCATCATTAGAGACATCACAGTCGAGACCACACGTGATAAGGGGAACGCCTCCCAGTGGGCGCTCAACATGGCTGTCCACATAGAGTCCGATTCCCTCCAGAAGTTTGACACCAATCTGTCGGTCTATTTGGACGATCACGAGCTGATTGCCGGTCGCGCCTACACTCTAACCCCTGCCACCGATGGCAGCGCTCGCATTAAACTCATAATACCGGTGACGGGTGTCGACATCACGGCCTGGTATCCCAACGGCGTGTCACAGAATACGCAAAAGTTGTACGCATTGAGAGCTAAGCTGGAGTTCCCGGACAGTAAAGAGGTGTCGGAGCAGACGCGACGGATTGGGTTCCGCACTATTGAAGTGATTCAGACACCGGTGCAGCCGAAAGGGTTGACCTTTTATTTCCAAGTGAATGGACAGCCGTTTTTCGCGAAGGGAACCAATTGGATACCCGCCGACAACCTCCAGGAGCGCGTATCCAAGGAGTACTTGCGAGAGCTGATGGAGGCGGCCAGGGATGCCAACATGAATATGATGCGAGTGTGGGGCGGAGGGGTGTATGAGTCGGACTACCTCTACGAGTTGGCCGACGAGTACGGTGTCATGATATGGCAGGACTTCATGTTTGCCTGTTCTCTATACCC